TGCAAATACCCTTTCTAAGTGAAAACTCTATTTGCCTATCTGCTATGTCATCAGAAAAATAACTGAGATACAGCTCTGAATTTGCCAAGGACTGCTGATGTCCCATCCAAGATGGCAGCTCCCACTCTCAGGTCTGTTCAATATCCCGATATCATCACTAATTACAGGGAGATTTATTGCACAAAACAAGATCATTTGTATTTTTATCTTATGGATTGATTGTCGCTGATATAAATAGTATAGGTACAGTGTCTCTTTAACACCTTACCCACCCAAATACACAAATTAAAGCAGCTAGGTATTTAATAATAAATCATTAAGCATATTTTTTTGTTAGTGCAGCTGGTGTGAGTACCTATATTAGTAACCTTCCATCATCCCCTGTTCAGCAGCACTAAGAACCAATCAGGTATGATATATGTAAATATGTTGAAAAGGGGCATGCTGGAGGAGAAAACAGAGGGATTACCTCATTGGTCTGCTGTAATTCCCTCACAGCCAAGTCAGCAGGCTAGGGCACCACTGTGTTTCTTATCTGTAACAAAGTGTGTGTGTATGTGTGTGTGTATATATATAGATAGATATATATACATATATATCTATCTATATATATATACAGAATATTTCCATAAAGCAAAGGCTGAGTTTTACAGTAAAGAATCCGACATACCACAGCCAAGATTCAATCCAAACCAACAGAAAAATCTCCAACATGAATCTGTGAATGAAACATAACTCGGAGATAGAAAGATATGAGAAGCAGATACTAATTAAATAGTTATCTTAGTAACTCCTTCTGTGATTAAAAAAAACAACTTACAAATTAAAGGATTGGTACAGTTAATATGTGGATGGTCCCTTCTCTCCAGGTTTGGGAATTCAATTCCCTCGAGCATTGAGAAACAGGTCTCCAGTCCACTTCAGAGCCATCTCATTAAGTGGAGTGAACACATTACACAGTTTAGTATTACAGATCAAAAATTAGAATTGGAAGAAAACTGAGGCCGAGAGAAATGTCATAAGTCCAGCAGGATAAAGTAGGTAACGGAGGAGAGGGTGGTCAGCTGTGTCGACTTCAATTTAAATGGGGTTTCTTTGCAATAACTTTGCTACCTAATTTGCATCTCACCCCTTTTGAAAAGTCTCATTATGCTTTCAAAAGTCTTTTCAGGCTCCTTTATATTAATTATAGAAATCATTAGAATAAAAAGTTAACATAATGGTTCTAAGAACAAGCTTCACACGCCGAATATGTGCATATTTAATCCGCTCGGCTGATGAATTTTTAATCATCGTTCAAGTCCAGGTTTTTTATCTTAAAGCCTAACTTGATAACAAACCTAGCAATTGGTGGAACTAATTGGTACAGAATAAGTAAATAATTTATACAATTACAAAAAAGCACGGCTGTTTAAAAGGTGCGCAAGGACCATATGTTTAATGATTGGAGGCTGGCCGTTGAACTGAGTACACACAGATACTTTATGGTGTGCTGCTGACATCCAGAGGCCAATCCGAAATATGGCCAAATTATTTTATTTACAAGTGATTCAGAAACTCATTAAAAAAATAAAAAATATTTTAAAAAATCGGAAACATAACATTTATTGGGCTGTTTTGCAGTTGCAGGCTGCATTTTTAATAAGGGAAAAGGAGCTGAAATACGATTATATTGTGTTTAAAACAATAGAGTAGGATTAAACAACATAAAAACAGTTGCACACTTATATTATGTGGTTGGACAATTTTACCACAGAAAGAGAAAAAAATTGGTACATAAGACAAAGAAATTTAAAAAATATTAATTCAAAGTAATAAAATTTTATTACTGCATTTGCCTGAAACAGCAACAACATTTTAATGAATAGTTTCAGTAAGTATTTTATATTTGTCTGATATAGGCTATACATTTCTGTGTATAATTTAAGCTGAAATTCCATAATTACATTTTAATTCACGCAAAATCAATATAAAATTGGTTTGATTTTTATTTGAATGCATTGGCATGTTATACAGCTGTATGGCAGTGCTCTTTATTTTTGAACTTTAAAGTCATGGAACTATATTCATGATATTGTTAATCAATTTTCCAGTTTTATAAACAGAAGATGTGTAGTGCTGATATACATATTCTGTGTGATAAATGCAAAAAAAATCCAATAATATGGTTGGACATTTTTATAAACAGATAATGAATCATATGGACAAATAAAAAAAAATCACAATTCATGATTTATTCAAATAACATTCTGGCAATCCAGTTTCATATCTCTTTACATTCTGGCACATTTTCACTATTTTTACTGGCCGCGTCAATAAATGCTGGAGGTGTGGAAAGCACTTTACGTTCCTTTGGTCATTTGTGATGTGAAATCTGAATATATATTTCCATACCCATTTTAATTGTATTATAATAACATTCAGATGTCAAGATTGCAAGATTTGAACAGTAACTAAATTGCATGAAAGTATTTTTCCAAAGGGAGGAGCATTTCAATTTTGTCTACGGCTATGTTCACACCATCTCCAGTGCATTCCAGCATGGTTAGCTGCTGGAATCCATCCTGTCCAGCCCCCCGCCTGCAGTGCGAGTGCCTGCACCAGAACGGGTGACACAGCAATGCCCAGGTTCTGGTCCAGTGTGATCGCAAAAAATAGTACAAGCCATTGGCTTGGATGCCCCACCATTCCCCCCCCCATGGCCCAGAACACAGGGAGAAGGACAGTATGCAATCCAGTGCGTAATTTTTTTATGTTGAGGGTTTTTTTTACCAATATATCTACTTTACAACATTACAGACACACATGTTTTCAAAATTCTTAGAATTTTTAGGTAGGTAACCAGGCAGAGGTGAGGCAGACTATACACAAAACTATTTTACTTGCTTTATAAATGGATCTATTCTATGGTAATCCTAGCTTGGACTAAGCCTTAACCTAAACACCCTTGTTTAAAGCAATCCTGTCACCAAACAAAAGTCTCCATCAAAGATGTACCTGTAAACCAGAAAGTATATACCTACAGTATCTCTCCTTCTGAACATCATTCTATTGAAGAGAACTTGCCATTTGAAGGTTCTCCTGAAACTGACACTTCCAGAAGTGTCCATCTTCTGGTCCCCTGCAGTGCTTATTGATTCCTCCCAAAAACCCTAATGTCATTACAGGACGCAGAAGTTATACGAAACTTCAGCCAGAGATTACTCTTCATTGAAGTGGTGTTCTGTTGGAGAGACACATATTTCATGGGGACTGTTAGTTAGGCAACAGAGTAGATTTAAGGGCTCTTTCACACTATTGCGAGTGTGTATTCACATGTTTCATTGTGTTTTGGCACACATTTTATGTACCATGGTGTATGCACCCAATAATTTCTAATGGGACCATAACGAACACATACACATGCAAAACCAAAGCAACTAACTCTCAGCTCGCTGCAACGCATGTAACAGAAAATACCTGTGTGGCCATTGGTGCATTTTTTGGTCCATGGCCACATATTAACGGCCCCTAGAAAATAAACAGACCCATGCAATGTAATGTGCATAGATTGAAGTCTGGGGTAAATAAATACATAGCTTCATCTCCAGACGGTCAGTAAAGCAAAATTATGTATTTAGTTCAATATATTTATATATATACTTCAACACTTTTCTGTCAGAAATCTCTTCCCTTTCATAAGTTTACAATCTAAGATCCCTGTTGCACTTATACAGATATATAGGGGCTCATTTAGGGAAAAGGTGTTTTACATACTAGCATGTTTTGGGGCTGTTAGAAAAAAGTGGAATACCAAATCTATGCAAACACAGGGATTGCTGGCAATGGAGCAGACCAGTAAGCCTCGACGCCACTCTCACGCTCGTGCAGTGCTTCCACTTTCTACATGTCAAACCAGTTGGATTACTGAGTGCTGATTATTGAGCACACAGGGGTATAACGCTGGTACCAATTGGACAGTACAGTGCCATTTAGACACCCTTTACAATGGCTGAAATAGAAGGGTGCTAATACAATGTATATCTGATTGCATATCTATACTGTAACTTCCCCTGGGATTTAAAGTGAAGGGTAATAAAACAGCTTAAACCTAACTTTGCTGCCCAGCCACAGATACTTACTTTCCATTTGTTCCCACACCTCACCATTCCAATGTAGCTCTGTTTTGCTGCGATAAGTAATGGAAAGTCCTGTATAAACTACGAGTTGTTGGATTCTAGGCTCCCACGGGGCTATGGACTCCCCCGTGGCAGCATTGATTAGCCAAGCTCTGACACATGCAGGTTGTGAATAGACCTGCATCAGGTCTATTCACAAAAGGGTGAAGAGTTTGGAGAAGGCAGGAGAATTGAACAATCTAGGACAACATAGCTGATTTGGAAAAATTCTCCAATTCAGCTCACTTTCCGGTTCAGCTATGTTGTCCTAGATTGTTCCCTTCTCATGCCTTCTCCAAACTCTTCACCCTTTTGTGAATAGACCCCATGGGGTGAGTTATATTCAGAAGTGTCAAGTATTTTCTTTGGCTTTCAGCACTGAAAGGAGTGGCAGCTGAGCAAAGGAAAGGTAACCGCATATGCTGCTGGGGATAGGTGGGAGATTAAAGCAAACCTTTTCCTATACTCTGAATGCAAACAGTAAAGATGATTTGCAATGTGCAGCAGTATAGCAAGTGTATCAATTTATGTTTATAGAATTCAGAAACAAGATGATTTTTGATTGGTTACTATTACATTTGCACAATGATCTGCCTTATTCAAGAAGTTTGCTTTTCACATTAGTTTTTTACTGTAAAAAGGCAAGAAATATATTTTTTACAGTATAATCTCAACCCGGCTTCACCACTAAAATAAGCAAAGAGAATGTGCAAAGTGCAGCAATCCATAGCAATCAATCAGAGCTAAGTTTACTGCAGTCCATTCAGTTGAGAACAGATTTCTGATTGGTTGCAGTGGATTAATGCACTTTTCCCATCCTCCTGCTAATCTCCTTGATTGCTTATGCTCATTGTATTTCTGCTTAAATAAGCCTGAAAGTCCCTTTCTGTCACTGTACATATCCATTTCTGTCATCCTAATAGCATGATTGGTGAACAATATTTACAATATTTTCACAAAAAAGCACATATTAACATTAAACTGTAACACGGGTACAGTAGTGCTTCAGCGTACAAGGCAATATTCCCTTATTCAACTGGTGAAATTCAACAAGTTGTGTTAGATCTGTAAATCTTGTGTGTCCTTCATCTAATGTGTAATAAAGCTCTCCTCCATCTTCTATCTGGTCAAAGACAAAAAAAACGAGTCAGCGAACCATATCTGTGCACACTGAATTAACTCAAAACAAAAAAATATATAAAAGTAGTAAAAACAATAGAAATAAATGGGTCACACAACAAAACAAACAACAGATCCTACTGCAAATATTAATGTCATAAACATTGTGTTGCTTTGTAGAGACATCACGTTTAAAACTATAGAAACCCCACAAACATTATATATTATACCAGTTATATATTATACCAGTATGGTGCCTTGGAATAGGTGCTTCTCTTACTGGAAATGGCACATACAGTATATTAAACAAATTAATGCATCCCACACCATTGAAGGTAACTAGGAATTACCACTAATACTAATTATAAAAGCTAAGATATTTTGCGGATAGTTGCAAAGTTGTATGTTATGTAGCTAAACAGGAATGCATTTGACAGTAACTTTTCTTTCTATCTTTGAACCCATTTTGGCAGTGGCCAACCTCAGTCTGTCCATTTATAACAACTCCAGGCAAGGAAAAGTAATGAAATAATGTCATTAGTAATGAAGAATATAATGCTCATTTTCTTTCCAGGAGGTAACCTAAAACAGATTATGAGACTGGTATCCAAAGCTTCTCTGGCCAATAGTATCATATTCAATGGAGGACCAGGGGCCACTTCTGCTTTAACCCTTTCACTGCCATTGACATGTTTCACATCAGGGGCATCATGGGCTTTTAAACACACTCCTGGCTGCTAAAGCAGCCAGGACTGTGTCCCGGCCACACAAGCTGGCTGTTGGTTCTGCTTTGTAAGTAGTCATTTACACAGGGTCCAGCTTTGCTGCCCCTCCTGTGGGTCTAGGACAGCCATGTCAAATGTCAGGGGCTAGAGGGGAGGTAGACCAGTATACATCCATTCACTGATCTCTAGACTTGTGCATTGGGATTCGGACGAACCTGCAAATCAACGAAAATCAGTTGATTCGGCGGTTCGTCTGACTCCGAAATAACAAATGTAATATATGCCCGAATATACTAAAACAATATTCGGGCATAAATTCTGTGTGCATGCGCGTGTTCTGCGCATGCACACTGCCATTTTGGAGTAGATCTTAGTATACACCAAGATGGCGGCGCTCAAACATGCGGGTGCTGCCATCTTGATGTATACCAAGATCTACTCCGAAATGGCCACGACTCGTTCTGCGGTCTCAGTGTGCCATTTCGGATTCGGAGGCTAATTGCCTCCAAAACAACATAAATATTTGCTTCCTTTGACGAAACAAATGAAAACGTTTTTTTTGTGTGCACATGTCTACTGATCTCCCCTCCTGTGAATGAACCCACAATCAATGCGTCACTTTTGGTTCAGAGCACAATCTGTGTTTGATCAGCTTCAATGGAGAAGAAAGGTGACATCAGGGGTTGTACATTTTTTCACCCCACTGTAGTGCAAATAGACACAGCCTACATGAGAGTGGCAACTGTGATCTGAATTCAAGAGCAGAGTAGCATAGTTGCCATCACAGGAAGCTGCATTGGGTGGACTTCAAAGGCAGGATTAACAGGTATTTATGGGACTTTGTGGGGGGCCTAAGAAAAAATTGTAAGTGCAATGTACTTATTACATTAGTATGTGCTGCAGGACATTTTTTTTTTATAGGAGGCCATAGTTCTACTTGAATGGTAAAAAAGAGAACAGCAGGAGTCTGCTTCTTGCTTTTCAGTAGGGTGGAAAAAGAAATGGCCATTCACGGTATACATTTTACCATGTATTTAGACTCATTAAATAAATATCTGAAAGAGAACGATCATTACACAGTAACCCACAGCAAAAACTATAAAATCATGAGTAGTTACCATGTGTTACCCTTTACGCATTTTCATTGCCCTCTGCATTGCCTTAATGAATAAACGTACTTGTTTTGCATACAAATATACATTATACTACTATTCAAAACTTACTGGTGAAATCTGAAAATGCTTTATCTTCTGCCCATGGCACATAGAAAGAACAAATGATTTTGGTGCACTTTGGCTATCACGAACCAGAAATACTCTAGAAAAAGTACAGCAGCATGTTAGCTACACAATAATCTCAGTGACATTGGCTAAACTACTATTTTTAAAAATGTTTCATTTATGTTCACCTCTTCATTATCTAATTATTACATAGGATTGTTGTATCAGTCTCAGTGCTCACTTTAATTGAGCCATGAGTGCCCATCCTTAGAGAATACTACATGTTTACTTACAGATGAATTATATTATCTGTATATCTGCTTTTTATGTTCTCTCATATTATCTCCTCTACAAAATTTACAGTCTGAATAACACTGTAAAGAATTTAGAAAGCTTTCAGAATATCAGATAAGATTTACAAATAGATCTCTGGGTTAGGAGTGGAAGGAGATAATGCTGAAGCATGTGATCATGGTTTCAAAGAAACTTCAATGACTTGAGTATTGATTCATCCCTATAGGTCCAAGCTGTCAAGTTTGTGTAGTCCAACAGCTGGCATAGACTACATAACAGCTCAACTTCAAAATGCCTCTCTGATCCAGAAATAAAAACATTAACTCAGACACTTTCTTTAGAGTATATTATCTACTTATAAAGCCCTAAAAATAACTATTTTTTGGAGATATAGCAGGAATTAAAGACTAGGTGTACTTTGAAAACACTATAAGTTCTTTAATATATCAAGGCAAGTGTACAAATATTCAAGCAGAACACCGGACATAATTTTCCCTAACCCTTGCAGTGGGGCTACCACTGCACTGCAAAGGTTAAGTGCTCATTTGTGTCTAGATGCTAAAAAAGTTATACTCACTAGGGATGCACCGATACTAGTATTGGTATCGGAGCCGATACCGAGTATTTGGGTGAGTACTCGTACTCACCCCAAATTCTCAGATACTTACCCACGATACCAGAACTTCCGGTCAGAGGGAGATCTCACTCTGCAAGTGCAGAGGGAGCATGGAGACGGCTTTCTTTCCAATCAGGAAGCCGGGCGGTGGGTTATGACCCGCCTCCCGGGTCATAACCCACCCCCACCCCACCGACGAGCCATGAGATGCTTCCCGGCTTCCTGATTGGCTAGGAAGCTGGCTTCACTTGTTGGTAAGCAGCCTGGCTTTCATCATGACTTGCATCCCAGCTTCCTGATTGGTCAGGAATCCACACTACCTAGCAACAAGTGATGTCAGCTTCCTAGCTAATCAGGAAGCTGGGATGTGAGTTATGATGTGCCGCCCAGTTTGATCAGGTTTGATCAGGATTGATCAGGAAGCCAGGCAGCCTCTGCAAGTGAAGCCAGTGCTCTTACGCTAGAACACTGACTTCAAGGGCTTTCAGGAAGCCAGGCAATGAGACATGATCCGCCGCCCCATTTCCTGATAACCTCTGCACACAGCACCAGTACTCGGTATCGGTGAGTACCGAAAAATATATCGTTACTCGTACTCAATACCAAAAAACTGGTATTGGTGCATCCCTAATACTCACGCGAACTGCAGAGTCAGCTGGCAGCTACTCCAGTCCTTGAAGTCTGTCTCCTCCTCCACTGCTGCAATGGAATGTCCCTTGGTGTCCTCCTACACTGTATAGAAAATAATAACTCAAGGATCCTTAGACCACTGCAATGAAAGGGGAGAGAATATCCAGGAGCTGGTCTAAGAGCAAGCTGGCTCGGAGGATCAGGTGAGAAAAACTTTTTTTTAGCACCTAGACACAAACAAGCACTTAACCCTTGCAGTGTGGGGGGTAGCCCCACTGCACGGGGTTAAGAACCATTTTGCCTGGAGTTCTGCTTTAACTTTTACATTTTGCCCTTCTATTGCCAACCAATAGGTTCATGGGATCTGCTAGTTCAAATTTTTTTTCCATTCCCTTGTCCCCTGCACATACTGTAAAGGGGTATCTGCAGGCAGAATTATTACGTGTTAGGAGATAAGTGCTTTACAAATCATTAGGGATACTATGGAACCACCTTATATAGAACACTGCAGCTTCCCCTCAACATACTTCGTGTTGTACTTGTTTCCAAAAAAATCTTTCTAAATGTACTCAATATAAATAATGGTTTCACAACCTCACTACTAGCCATGGTTTTGAACTGGCCCTTGGCTTGCATTTCTCTTTACCATTGTTGTTTTGAAATGGTGCCAAGTTTAAGTGGCTGAGGTTGGTCCTAGCAAATGCTTGGTTTGATATTGTTGGTTGTTGATGACACTATATGTAAGTATTCTGTAGCACAATGTAAACACAGTGGTTCTGTAATATGGCTACAGAGGAGATCCCACAATGCCATCTACCTCTATGCAGTGAAAGATCACCACATTTGTGATCTTTTGCATGCTGATTAGTGATGGGCTGCATGTTCGAATCGAACATAGGTTCGACTCGAACATAGCCAGTTCTAGCGTACGCTGAACGCCGAACATTCCCGGATGTTCGCGGTCTATTCGACCGCGGAACATCCCACGATGCACTGCGCCCTCCGAAACTGTAATTGGCTACAGTCTTGCACCTGACCACAGGTCAGGTGCAAGACTGTGCCAATCAGGGCTCAGCACACATTTAGAGCCATGATTGGGCAAAGTCATGATGACTATGCCCAATCATGTCTCACAGCTAAGTGCCTGCAGCACACTCTATAAGGCTGCTGACACCGCGGCCCTATGTAGTGTGTTGTAGGAGATAGAGATAGAGAGATAGATAGAGATACATCTAGAGAGAGATAGATCTCTATCTATCTATATATAGAGTTCTATATGTATGTATGTATGTATATATATATATACTGTATATACACATACATATATATACTTTGAGTTCTAAGTTCGAATTAGAACTTTTTCCATGTTTGAAAGTTCGAATTAGAACCGAACACGGGGGTGTTCGGCTCATCCCTAATGCTGATAACAGTGAGCTGCTGCTTTTGAGTTATGGTAATTAACTGAATAAGATACCCCCAGACCAAATCCAACAACTCTCCCCCTATAAAGAGTATTAGGAATTTAAATAGCATCTAACAAATGGCCCAATGAACACATGCACTGGATGATCTTATTGAGTGAGAATCAAATAGTCATGCAAGTAAGTGCAATATCATTCAGCATTTTTTTAATCTCAGCCCTGTGCAAACCTTCAGTTTCCTCTCAGTTTAAACTTGACTCATTCTTATCTTAGCGCTACAGTGACAGCTTAAGCAGAGACCCGTGTGCATTACCATGTAACATCAAACATGAACATAAATATTCCTGAATTTAAAAAAATGAATTTTGACTTTACTACTCTGCTATGTTAAATACAAATTGTACTTATGTGATATCCTTGTAGCCAGAAGGCTTTGTCAATTGTATTTAAGGTATCTGGTGCTGTATATGTTGTGTTGGAAAAAAACTACTTTTGTGCTTATTTTTCACTCTTTAATTAATTAATTAACTCTTTGACTCTCTGATCTTAGCCATCAATGTAAATAAACGAGGTAAGTTAATGGAGGCACAACCATTTTACGGGGTTCCTAAACAGAATGCATATTAAGCACATACAAAAACAAGGTTGTTAATCCTCTAAGAGAGGTTGACAATATTATTTACCTAGCTTGTCTATATTAAAATATATTTCAATTAATTCAACATTTATCAGCATTAATGAATATAATTATTCTCTTTAAAGATGATGGTAAAATGTAAGACTTAAAAATGCCAATGATATTAGATAACATATCAAAATAAATAAATAAATAAAAAAGTAACAGTAAGCTATAAAAATGAACCTACCCATTTACAAGTCCTTGTTGACATATCAGTTTTTGAGCTTCATCCCTTGATATTTTGTGGTGGAACCAGGGTTGTGACATGTGGACTGCTACATGTTTAAAAGATTTTGTAAAATAGTCGTTACATATATATATTTATATAAACTACAACTGTACAAAGCAACTATATATATTTATATAAACTACAACTGTAAAAAGCAACTGTTGTAGCCTTCAAAATTCTACCACACATGGAAACAAAATCAAGCTTATATAAAGTTTTTAAAGGCTTTTAAAGCTTAAGTGGACGGGA